GGAGGCGGGGCAGGGGTGGAGGGAGCACGCGTGCGCGCGTGCGCGCGTGCGGGGTGGGCGCGCACCGGGGAGAGCGCGGGGCGCGCGCGTGGGCAAGGAGAGAGCGCGGGCGCCGGCCCTAGAGGGCGAGGCAGGGAGGCTCGCCCAGATATTCCAAGTGGGCGCTGTGCGCGCCCCGGGCCCTGATCCCCCGCAGCCGCTACCCAAACGAACCGAACCGGGTTCCAGGAGGAGCCCCACGTTCCTCAAATCACCCGTAAGCTACCAATTACAGCCCCTGCCTTTTCTCGGAGCTAAGCGGGCGTCCACCCTCGCTACCGTCAATCTCCCACCCTCTCGGGAGGCTTTTAATGGCATTGGACAAGCGGTTCTTAACTCTCCCCACATGGTACCGGCTAGCATTAGTCCCTGGGGACCACGGTAACGCTAGCCCTTTCCTGACCTCAAGGAGAATCCATAAGCTGTTAGATAGGCAGTTTCCCTAGTTGGGCTCTTAGAGCCCAACGAAATTGCACCTTGTGGTCAAACCTCAGTAAATTACATGCCTAGTGCAGGAGCGAACAAAATAGCATGCTGATTTATTTTTGCATTTTTGTATTGTGTCTACATAAGGTCACGAAAATGGCAATGCTAAATTGGCCACTGAAAGCAAAGACAATGTTTTATCTGAGGCAAAGTAATGTTTCAGATAGATTAAATACTAATACACACCCTTCTGTTTTGACTGCCCGTAAACGTACTGTAATATAGTGTAATAAGTACACCCCTACTTTTATTCAAGAGCAGGAATTTTTGCTGCTGTTTACAGTAACTAGTAAGGAATGTAAAATTATTACAACTAGCTAAGAAAATAGAGAGCTGTGAGGTTCTTGTTTTGTTTTCTTATCGTCATGTTTCAAGGAGATTAAGCAGCTGTGAAGGAGGTTCAAAAAGTAATCCAGAGGGAAGCGGGGAGGTAGACGGGGTAAAGGGGGTCAAATATATGGTGACAGAAAGAAATCTATGGGAGGTAAACATGGTGTAAATATATGTATATATATATATATACACACACACATACATACACACACACACACACACACACACATATATACACCTTACTGTTAAAGTATATAGGATTTCGTTAACCAATGTCACCATACAAAATTTCATTAATTAATTTTTTAAAACAGTAATCCAAGGTGCACCACTGGAGCTTCTTTTTTTTTTTTTGCCCTTGGCAGATGTCTTATATGTGGATAAACAAGAGACTACCATTTTATAAATGTCATAGTTTCTCCTATAGTGAGGACCAAAAAATAGGTTATGGTATTTTAAATAATTTTAAAACAACTACCACCCCAAACCACGGGTCTGAAACGCATTATCTGAGAACATCTAATTAAGAATACTTAACATTTTGCAGAAATTAAATATATATAATATACATGAAACTTTATTCAAAGAGTATTCTCCTAAATGTAGCAATAGGCAATATAGAAAGATATAGATATAAATGAGAATGCCTGTGTTTGTAGCTTTTGAATTCCACTTTAGCAAAGCATTGTCCGTGTGGTTTGAGAGCCAGAACACAGACCCAGTATATCAACTTACACAACTAGGTAAAAAGTAGAGCCAATTCCCGTTGGTCACTCTTTTCCACTATTTTAAACTGCTTCCTCAACACACCTTATTATGATATATAAAACTAAACAAATAATTGTGTGATGTAGATCAAAGTCTAATCTTATCATATATTAATTTCACTAGGATTCCTCAGATCGGTCTAGCCATTACCTTGTAGCTTTTCAATAAATGTTTGATTATTTTAACTTTGGACTAGTTAGGGAAGAGAAAGGTGAGCATTGGGTCCCAGCCATCTCTTTCTCCTCTTTGCTGATTTCTTTACCTCTGCACTTTTAATAAGGAATTTACAAAATCCAACAAACTTTATAACAAAACTCTGTAGCAATCAGATTTAGAACAGCCATGGACCTTTCAAAACTCTACAGCCATTTCCATCTGGAACCATAAACGTTAGGAACACAAGCTTGATCATCGAGTTTCTGAAACTTAGCTAGTCCTCTGGAGTTGTAGGATTCTTGTAACTATTCAACATCGTTCAACAAATCACCAATTTATAGAACACCTCTTATGTGTCAGACATAATCCTGAAATCTGAGGAGTTAAGCAAATTATACATAGCTCAACAAAATACCTAACGGCTGTCCTTCTGTCAGACTAAAAGGTTTACCATAAATAGACCGTGTGGCAGAAAAGCAGTAAGAATGTGAGCTGAACCTAAATGAATGTGGCAAGGTTGGGAAATGGAGGGAAGCAACCCCAATATTTCACACAATGGAGTCATTCTGGGGGCAAAACCTTTTCCAGTGGCAAGTGATTTCCAGTAGTCATGTGGTAGACTGTGAATGATACATAATTCAGAATCAGAAAAGTAGAGTTTAAAGATCCATATCTGTAAACCACTATACCCTCACTTTCTTTCTTTATGAAATAGAACTTAAATATTCCTGCCAAATCTAAAGTTTTAAAATTTGGAATATTCTTTGATCCACTTACAGGAATTTATCCTAAGGAAATAACGAGGAAAAGATGCAGAGATTTAGCTATAACGATGTTTACCCAGAGTGGTATTATAAACTATCTTTGACTTTCAACAGAAGGCATCTGATTAAACGCATTATAGTACATCCGTACAACAAATCACTAGGCAGCCATTAAAAAATGACATAGTAAAGCAGGAGTTCTTAACCTGGGGTCTAGTGGGTTTAATTCATGGACGGATGTGAATTTACCTTCAGGCTAATGAAGTCAGGAGCTAACAGGGCCTTAACCCCTTATTTATACAGGCCCCTGTGAGTGCTGAACTGCTGAGAGTTAAAAGAATTCTTCAGATGCAAAGGGGAAGTCAGGTTGCAATCAGGAAGCATTTCTACATAAGAATTTCTGGTGAATTTCTTGAACAGATCTCATTTAAAAAGGATTTGAATCTCTAAGTCTCTAGCAAGATATTGTGATTTCTCATTCAAAATAAATATTCACATAAATAATTTACACATAATTTATATATTTATATTATTTTTCTTTTAGAGGGCCTCTCCACGATGTGAGAAAAAGGAAATTTCCCACTATTTTCAAGCCATTTTCTCAATCTTGCAGTCTAAGCAAGTGTTTTGTTTTTTCTTAATAACCAAAATAAAATAATTAATTTTTAACAAAAATCACAAACACTAAAAGTACTCTATTTCTTATTTAATAAAACTATTCAGCATTTTCCAAAAGACTACTTAGTTAATAATTAACTGATTTGAAAACATTAAAGAAATAATTTTTTATATCAGCTAACCATTCATTTAGATTGAAAGATAGAAATGGAGAGTCAAAATTAAATTCACTTTCTCATATTTAAGAAATAGTCTTCAATGTCTAATAAAGTATTATTAAGTGAGAAAAACAAGTCATTGAACTATATGGTTGTATGATCCCATTGTGTTTTTTTAATCAATACTATAGAAAATATTGTGCATTTTGAGTTTCATAACAGAACAGAGTTCTGTAAGGGAAAAATACCATTCTGTTTACTAGAATTACTTGGGCCAGGTTGGGGTAGGTGCTGCCACTCAATACTTTTTGCATTGTTTGAATGTTTTAAAGGTAAACCTGCAACATAAAAAATAAAATAAAATTGAAAACCAAAAAATGAAAGTCTCCAAAATTATATAAGTATCACAACCCACAAATCCTAGATCTTCCTCTGCTCATTCACTGATAAATTTCAATTGTGTATTTGCATAGCTGCTTCTTCTGGCACTTGGAGAATATAGCTTTCATTAGATTTAAAGAGGTCCTAATTCTATAGGATTAAGATCATGGTTTAAGACTAATAGACTTAATGACATAAAAACATAGTCATGATATATTGTTATGTAAATTAACAGATTATGTGCAACATAATTGCATATTTACAAAAATATGTATTTATATGTATAAAAATAAGACTGGAAAAATATACATTAAAGTTTTAACAACTATCACTTGATAGTGGGATTATAGGTTATTTAAAATTTATCCTTTTTGTCTCGTCTGCTCTCAGAAGCTAATCAGGGTCAGGCCTGGTTAGTACTTGGATGGGAGATCACCTAGGAAGACCAGGTGCTGTAAGCATTAAAAAAAAAATTATTCTTTTTATTTCTCAATGTTTGTTAAATTTTCTACAATAAAAATATATTTTAATAAGAAAAAAGTTATATTATTTAAATTGTAACGAACTTAGAAGGTTGTTGAATAGATTTAAAGTTACAGTATATGAAAAAGCGGGTTGTAAATCATAAGACACTTACAAAGGTTAATTATTGTTTCTCAGGCTTTAAAGCAGCTGCAGACCGCATTATCCTGAAACCAAAGGTGAGCACTGGAAAGTCTCTTTCATACATTGATCTCTTCTGTCACAATCAACCTTGTGGACAATACCTTATAAAACATGAATTTATGCAACCGCGAAGAATTTGGATTTTTTAAATTGCAAATAAAAGTCATGCAGAATTATCTTAGTGTGTACAGCTTCAGGTTTTAATGAATTCTTAAACATTATTTCTGTTTTAGGATAGGTGAAATTTGCGAATACCTTCATCTTCTTAGAACTAGACCAGATTTTGATTCCTCTGACCACAATGAGATGGAAATTTCAGGACAATAATCAATCAAATTAATAAAAGCGTATATTTATTTTCTATCTGTATCAGTCCCCAAGTACAAAATCCAGATCTTGGAGAGAGCACAGCAGTGACTCACTGGATGACAGAAAAGTCTCGGTGGGGTGCTATGCTGGCAGAACTTGCTATAAATCTGTCCCCTGGAACTTACTGGAAATCCATCATCTAGGGTGCTAAGGAAAGCTATTCATGGGGAGGTGT